CGCCATTACCCACAATCAGGAATTCACTTTCGTCCTGTCGAATTTCAAAACCGAACGCCGACTATGGGTCAAGATTGGCCCTGAATGCTTCGAAATGACCAGCTCGCGTGACTTGAGCATTGAGTTCTTCGACCCGTACAGAAATCGATTGTAACGAACGTTTCGCTGGACCTGAGCGCATGATGGAAATCCAAGCGCTGGGGACGGAAGGTCCGGTGCTCGCAGAAGCTTACTCCATATTAAGCGTGGTGGTATTGCGCTCTCATCCATGCGTTGGAAGTACTCCCGCATTTCAGGAGTAACGCGTGGGGGTGGCCCTACAGCACACGGCGTATCGCCTGGTAAATGCTTCTCAGTGCTCTCGAGGACGACCCACGTCGACGAGATTTCGCAGTGTTGAACTTTCCAATGCACTACTCACTTCTTCGGCAACCCGATCCTGCGCAAGTCGGACTCTTACATTGCAGGCGGCGCTCGGCCATTTCGTGGACGCCTGCGCAAATGCTGCACCATTTTGTTCTCACTAAAAAAATGGTCGAGCAGCAAAAATGATCCCATCGGTACTTGACGAAGTCGGACTCGACATGCAGCTCGGCACGCTTGGTCCAGATGAGTTTGGGGGGAATCGTGCAGACGTTTGGGTGGTGGTCCGGTAGGAGCGTATCTGACCCTTGAGGCTGAGGTTCAGAATTATTGGCCAGACGGAGTTGTAGAGACAAATTCAGCGTAAGCGGGCTTAAGGTTTTTTTATAATCCTACATATTTGGTCTTGAGCACAAATAAAAGTTGTGCTTATGTAACGGGGTACAATCCACTGTGCCCCAGGTTACATAAAGAGTGACCCGTCACTCTTGTGGACACCTGGTAAACGGTACCAGGTGCTCTCGGAGCCAGTTAGAGCATGACTACTTCGCTCCACTATAGGTAACCTCTAGTTTGTATGGATTCCAAGCTAACCTTATTTATAAATACATCAGTCTTAAATCTACTCTTCTAAGTAGCAAACCGTTCTCTTTGAGGCCGGGAACACGTGAACTAACGTTCACTCGGGTAGTTAATATCCTTAAGCACTTCCTCTGTGCAAGGAGCTTTGTGACCCCGTAACACTTGGTAGCACTCGTAGTTAATCCAACCCCATCGCGGATAGATTGAACTACCTGAATCATCTGTGCGCTCAGCGTTTGAGCCACGATGGACCGAAGCGAGTTTCCTCGCTTGAACGACTCACAGTACGAGTCTGTTCGGAAGATGGGAGGCATCTTTGGACAAGTTGTCCTTCGCAGCTTGGCGGCAACGACGCCTGTCGAGCAACAAGAACGCGTGACTGCGTTTGAGACCTACGAGCGTGGTCGAATCGCTCACGGCCGCGGGAGTTTGGCGGCCTCGATGGCCGCTCCCCAGGCAACCAGGCCTAAGCCGGTATGGCTGAAGGTCCCCGCGTTTGAGGGGAAGGAAGGAGAGAACCTTCACTTCTGGGTCCGTGTGGTGGAGATCGCCATAAAGGCGGGTCTCATCTCGGACGAGCCAGTTCGGGTGGCGTTTGCCCTGTACAACCTTGGTGGACGTGCCAAGCACTGGGCATACACCAGGGAGACGACTTCTCCTTGATGCTTTGCATCCTGAGCTCAGCTGTGTGAGCAGCTTCAAACCGCGTTCCTACCGGCGAACAATGTGTTCCGCCTGCACTCATGCTTTCTCGCGTGTAAGCAAGGTAAACGTGAGCTGCAGGAGTACGCGCAAGAGATGCGCACGTTGGTGGCATCCCTGGCAGGGACTCCTCTGCCTGAAGACGTCAGCACAACAGTCTTCATGGACGGCCGGAAGGTCGGTCCTGCTCTCACCCAGCTATTCCGGGTGCAAGCGACAACTATGGAGGAGGCGATTCGAATCGCCCTCCTAGAAGGGTACAGCCCCAAGCAGGCTGGTACTCCTCGGGAAGAGAAACATCGCCACGATGAGAATGGCGTTCCTCTGGAGGCGGAGCATCGCAGCAATGACGCTGTTGCTCCTGCTGTCACGCAGCTCGTTGATACTGATGCGCACAGCGAGCCCGAACCCATGGACTTAAGATCAGCCAAGAGCTTGGTCCGCTGCTACGGATGCGGCGGACATGGACACTACCAGCGTGTGTGTCCCTCGCCAGACCTCAGGAAGAGGACAGCCCGTGGACCCCAGGTCCAGTGGCGCAGGCCTCGGCCAGGTGGACGAAGACTCCCCGTCCACCAGTAGAGGCAGTATGCCCTACTGAAGAGCGCTAAGCCTTCGTGATGGGTGTGCAGGCTGTGCGCACCACGGGACTTAGCCCAGAGAGACGTTGTTCTCTCAAACCGGTGAAGGGCAGTGATGGGCCGCTGGTAGTGCACTCGCTGTACGGGGTACGATACCCCTTGAACGTTTGAAGGGTTCTAGGGCGTTGATACGCCGCCGGAACGTCGCTTGGCATAGCGACACCGACTGCACTCTATGTCAGAGTGGCTGGTCCTTGGTGGACTAGCCTTTGGTACGGTGAAGGAAGTACCTTAACGGACCTGAACGTTTGGTTTGATGAACTCGCGCACGGCGGTGTCGCTCGCAGTTTTCGCCATGCACAACATGGCTGTGCCGAACATAAAGCACAGTCCGGTCTTTGGTGTGGCAAGGCCGAGAAGGGCCTACCAGTCCAGTGTATGACGGAGCATTAGTGAGTCATGTTCCCACCTCCGTCAGGTCTGGGACATCTGATATAGACCGCCAGGACGCAGAATCGCCACGGGGTTGTCAACACCCCACGGCTCTGCGTACAGCAAGGCCATGCTCCGCTGCGGCAATGCCACGGGCGTGGCCCTTTTTGCCCGCCGTGTGGACCTGCTACACCAGCAGCGTCCAACGCCGAAGGTCGTCGCGCCGTACGGGCTTCGACAGTGGTTACGCCTTTAAGCGCTAACCAGGTGGGTAACTTAGGACCACACGGTCGCCCCGACCTTAACTGAAGAGGAAGGCGCTGAATGCGCTTCCTGTGTGGATAACACAGTACCCCCCGCTGACGCCCAGACTATATCTGAAGAGGAAGGCACTGATCATGCTTCCTGTGTGGGTAACACAGTACCACACGCAGTCGCCCAGACTATAACGGATGCGGAAGGCATTGTCCATGCTTCCTGTGTGAGTAACACAGTGCCACACGAGGTCTCAAGTGCCTCTGATGTCGTCAACGAGACATTACGACGTGGGTAACGAAGTGCCACGTCACGTTAACCGCCGCAAGTCGGGTCTGAACCTTGTTCAGGCCGACGTGGTCTGAACCTTGTTCAGGCCGACGTCGGTTCAAGCGACTCGGAGTCCAGAGCCCAGACTCCTCTGACTCGGTCGCTGGACACCAACTCTGTCCGGTGTGTGTGCGGGTCTGCCACGTCAGCTGATCCCAACACTGAAGGTCGCCGCGCCGTATGCGCTTCGACAGTGGTGGTGCCGAAGGGCATTCACCAGGTGGGTAACATAGGTCCACATTGCGAGTAACAAGTTCCGCAAGCAGCGAAGCTGCTTCAGGAGACCGACATTCGGTGCTCCGAGCGTGGGTAACAAAGTTCCACGCAAGGTCACTCATACCATAACTGATCAGGAAGTCGCTGTATGCGCTTCCGGTGTGGGTAACAGAGTTCCACATAACCAAGGTGGGTAACAGTGTTCCACACCCAAGGCGGGTAACATAGCTCCGCCCACAGAGCTATTGGATCGAGGCGCGAGGCTGTCTTGGTCTCGCCAGACGTAAGCAGCTCGCTCGACGTCAAGTCGCGCAGACTCAAACTGCTGACGCATAAGCTGGGTGCCTTCGGGCGACACGGCCGACGCGGTCGTCCATACCGACGCAGTGCACAGGGCGGAGAGCCGTCGCACCTGCCAGTGGCTATCAGAAGCCACGACAGACTCAGTAGTCTCGAGGTTAAGTGGGGGAGAGGCTCGGAAATACCTTTCCTCCCTGACTTTCCACGAGGCAGGTAGTCGTCGTGCTGCCAGTGGCTATCACATGCCACGAGAGACTCAATAGTCTCAAGTGTAAGTGGGGGAGAGGCTCGTAAATACCTTTCCTCCCTGGTCTTGAGGTAAGACCAAGTTCCTTACGAAACCAGGCGTCGATGTACATCGACTGCAGGCTGGAGGCGAACAGCCGGGCTAGAGTTGCGGTAGCTCTAGCCGAACAAGACATAGTGACGAAGAAAGCCACTGGCGCAAGGTGCCTCGGAATCGCTGAACGAATCAGCAGTGTTGGGGTTGCAAGCAACCACACACGAGGCGAAGCGCGAGCCTAGTGCAATCACCGCACTGGTCCCTTGGTCATGACGGACCTGACAAGTAGGGTGAACGGAACGTCTCACCCGCCGACAAAGCGGTTGCGGTACGTGATGTACGCAACGCGCCGGGTATAATGGTTCGTGGAGCCATAATTGCCCTAGCACTAGGAATACCTGCAATGGTATGGGTAGATGATTTCACGGTACGGCAGCATACTACCCGACCGGAAAAATTATCATAATCGGCTCACAGGAACATAAGTTGAAAATTTAATTATTGTACTATTATATAGGAAACAACGAACATGTATTCTAATGCCGCTTAAGCCAGCTAACAATCATTGTTGCCCGATCCTTAAACTGTCAGATTTTTAAGCTTCTTCGTGCAATGCGCGACTTTGATATTAACTGTAAACCGATTAAAGGCAGTGTCCATGTCAGACTAGCACAGAAGTTTGACAATGTAAAAAAGCGATAGTCCGGTTGTAAACTCTAAGAATAGGTTTGTGAAAGGTGATCACTTGAAAAGTTTGGTACTGGGCGAGATGTGCATAACATATTACACTCGCAGACAGAGTAGTAGGCGACGTGATCATCAAACGGACGTGTATTCCTACTAAGTACTTCTAAGTGGTAGGTCCAAATGATGACGATGTTCGTACTGGAGAGGGTCCTCGAATCCTTGTAAACTGCCTCGGTGTCGTACCTTCACTTGAGTAGGCATCTACCGACCTATAATGTGTCTAGGATCAATCCCCTGGTCCAACATACCCTCGTATCTTCTTCTAGCCAGTGCATCATTCTCTCGTTTGTGCTCTCCTTCCACGATTTCTTCATCTTAGAGGGAATCTTTTTCAGATATGCCCCAAGTCTTTGAAAGATTCTTTCTTCGTCGGTCTCGTTATCGAAGGCCGAGTCCTTTTCGACGCGGCGGAGAAGCCGTCCATTATTCGCTTCTGGTACGCCGCTGATACCAGCCGACGGCACATTTGCGATCGTGGCCTGGTTAGAGTCCTTCGTAGTTAGGGCGGCGTTACTGACATGGAAGGTGGCCGCAACGATCACTGATAGGATGAAGATTAGGCGCATGTTCGCAAGTGTCGAGTAATTCAGCTATATGTTCGTCGGAAAGGAAGAAGATTCAGGAATTCCGTGAGGTTTGTGGATGGCACGCTCAAGATTCTGTTTAATAATATCAATACAACAATACAACGTAACTTGAGTTGACAATATACTAAGTACGTTATTTAGAAAGCTATGTTGACCGGTATTTTCCCTCTATCTGTGCATGGAATGGTCTACCAAAGCCATACGGCTGCAGCTCACGATCTTCTAATTCTGAATTTTAATTTATTAGTAAGCTTTGTTTTGGAAAAGGGCGAGAGTTGCATAAGCCAAAACTTAATTTTAAATTGTATTTTATAATAGTCGAGAAAGGGCTGACCTTAACTGATTCCTACTGTTTATCGTACTACCCCCTTATAGGCTGTGGAGTGACGGAACGAGCATTAGTCTTATTAATTATGAACAGGTATACTAGTACGAATATTTGAATTTCATCTGCATGCACGTCGTGGGTTCGCGATTCCGTACAAAATACAGATTACGCGGAGGGATGGGGTGGCGTATTCAGTGACGGAATACGCCACCCTATCCCTCCGCGTAATCGCAGTGATCGCCGACAGTGAAAATACGCCACCGAACACACAACACATGTACATGTACTATCAACGGTGTATGTTATTTTTGTAATGTCGTGGCGACAGAGTAACGCGGTGACGGTCTAGGCTAGCCTACCCATTATCGAAATGAAGGTACAACGATGAGCTCTTGAGCACACACGACAATTCATTAATCGAGTTCACATTTAATAGTCAACCCCAACGTAAGGCATAATTTGCAAAGGGTCGATCAATAATACCGGTACTGGAGGGGCCCCCTATGATATAATAATGGACGTGAGTAATTTGCTCGACTGGCTAGCCGACTATATCGGTACAATTAAACTCCCCAACATGTATAAAATGGACTTAATTTCTAACCCAGACACAGCGCCTTCCCGAATGGAGGACTTAGAGGCCAAGGAGGGGCAGCCCCCCCCCCTCCAGCGCAGCGCAGCAAACGAGGAGAGGCCGGGCCCACGGCTATTATTAATAGTCAGACGATTGCGAACGCGCTAGTGTCCTACTTTTACTCCAATTTAACCGTACTATACCATTTGAAGACGTATAAAAGGAGATGCTATGTTACCTAAATAACGATTGCCTATAATACATGTTGGGCTTAGAAAGTAAAATCCCTAGAAAGAGAAGGCCGGTTGCAGGATAACATGTTGACTTCAAAGAAAAGAAGAGAAGTTGAACGAAGCACTAAGAAGTGCTATGAAGCGCCGCAAGATTTTATACCAATAATTCACTGACTTTTAATTGTGACTGGCACCTTGCTGAGTACTTCATAGTGCACTAGTTTTGCTTAGTATAAAGTACTGAAGTAGCTGAACGGAGAACTGCCTAAATATATCTATGGCTTATAAAGATCCGTGTTTTAATTATTATTATTTTATGCGGATGACGCCGGTACTCAAAGATCCGTATTACACGCAGGACCAAGCGTCTCTATTCCAGCTCACCAAAGTACTACCCGAATAATGCGCAGGAAGTCTGGTTAATACTTCCTCTATTAAAAGTGTTCTGAGATTGCATTTCATGACTCGTCTTGTGGCAAATTTCTCCGCATTATCATAAATCACTGCCCTTACATACAGATATTGGGTAATTCCTGAAATCGCATTTTACTTTTACTACGCGTATTCATCCATGTTGCACTAATAGCGCAGTGATTTCGCTCGACGCTGTTGCCGCTACGAAAAAAAATAGTTTGAGCAGATCCTTATGCGGTGTCGAGTTCGGGGCTGATCACTATGTACATGAGATTTGTCAAAGTCTCCAAAGTATTATATCAAATCGTTAGATTAGATCATCAAAAAGAAAAAAAGAGGACAAAAAAGATCACTGTTTTGTCCTCTGTTCGACATACACGGTTCGTTCTTTAAATGGTTAGGGGCCTATTGTTAAATGTGCCATCATCATGAAACCAAGAAACGATAAAACGACAAAGAGCCTAAATGATAAATACCTTCATAATGAAGAGCCGTCACTTGCTGGACCTTTTTACTCTAGATAGTGACCTTCACATCCGTTTTGCAGGGATTTAATGCATGCAAATATTAGGTACAGAAATTTGTCCCTCCTCCGACCAGATGGCGTCGTTCACACAACCGTCACCCGGAAGATTGCTTCATTGTTTGTTGTTTGTTCATCAAACGAAATCAGGCATTTAATACCCTTCTATACCTGATAAAGAAATAATCATTGTTTTCCAAGACGACACGTCAGTTTGTGCGTCTTAAAATATTTATGATTGGTGTTTTTTTTCTCGCAATTGATACACGTAAAATTTGTCATTTCAGGAGCCACCCATTACATAAACACGGTACCCGTATGCGCCTTTTTCCCAAGCAACAACTTTTCAGAAAAAATGTCACCGCGTTTTTGGGTACACAAACGTTTGGACATCAAAGCACCCAAACGCAGATGGTGAACCCGGCTTTCATACCGTCACACGTACTGACAACAAAGGTGTTTTCATAAACTAACTGATAATATTGGGCTCCAGCGAAAGGGTGGCAAAAGGCTTGCTGTTGCAAACTCCGTCTACTGATACGTGGGCCTCAGATAGACTTTGACTTGGTTAATGTATGGACCAATACATTTTACTGCTACAAAAAAAGACTTGATACTTCCGAAATAAAATCGACTATGTTTGTTCTTTAGCTCCTACCGACTACTTTATTTTCCTAGTCTATCCTGATATACCTTGCACTGGTTCCTATAGCCATGTCGTCTGCTATGGCGTTATCCTTGAAGGGGTACCAGTCCGATTCTCCTGGGTCGACCCAACCGCGTATCAAATTGGTACTATATGCTAACGATTGTAGCGCGGTCTTATTATCGGTCGACGCGATCCACTGCAGCATGAGTGCCCCCTCCCCCCCCCGTGCCACAATGAAGGTACTCTTGGTCACTTAACTTCATACATCATAGTCACCAAAAACCGTCCATCGATCAGATAGGTCACGTCTTGTCAGGTCACCATTAATCGGATCAGGATGACTCGAGATCCTGAGGCCACTCCTCGTCGCGCCGTCCCGTCAGGTTGGTACCCGCTAGACTCGGCGGCTCGCGTACCCCCTGTCGAGCTCGTAAGAGTTGCCTTATAGAGTAGTCCCGGAGCGCTGAGACCCGTTCGACGTGGGACTAAGGCGCCTCGTGCAATCGGGTCCCTCCCCAGAGCTTCCTGCTGTCCTACGAGGGCGGATGTCAGGTGAAGCGGTGTTATGTATGCGAGGAAAGGAAGGTGTTAGACCACTCTTCCGGTTAGCTATCAGTCTTAAATTTCCCACCTTCTACTCAAGTGGAAGGCAAGTCAATAAAGAAACTTATATTCGTATTAAGTTTTTTTGTCTACCGTTTCGGCCACTGAACGAGGCCGTACGCTCTGAACCGCCGCGGACTACTGACCCTTGGAGGTGGAGGTATACGACATTTGGTAGAGAAGCAGGGTAGTCTGCTCGCTGGAGAAGGTCTCGATTCAAGTGAAGACTCATTGAGGCCGTAAAAAGGAAACTACAACACGGAAGAGATGGCATCTACAAACACCGGAGAAGACGTGGACAACACCTCGAGAGGTGGAGACAGGAAGTCTACCTTCCAGGACGAGACCCAGTCTGTCGACTACGCAAGGCCGTCGTGAGCCAAGCCGCCAACCGGCTTGAAGGGAACAGCTCGGGCTCTGGAACTGAGCCGCCCGTGTACGCGTCGGGATCCGGGGTTCCTTCGATCAATACTACGCAAGAGTTGGCCCAATGTTAACCCTGGACGGCGGAGCCGGTCGAGGTACGGTGCAAAGCTGGCTCAACTTCCTCAACTGGTTGAGATCTGTAGCTCCCCCGAATATGGCTACAGCTATGGAAAGAGCCGACGGGAACGGTAACTTAGGGACCCCCCCCCGCGCGCGCATCTGGACCCCGACTACGTCGTATGGACAGGATTTCAACCCGTTCTTCTCTCTACCTACGGTCCCTGAGAACAGTGGAAGTGCTTCCCCTGCGAGCGTTCCTCCAGGAACCACAAAAGCGCCTCCTTGTAATCTCCAGTTTACCGGGGGGTTACAAGGTGGAGTGGGGAACGCTCAAGCCGCGACTGCTCAAGCGTCGCTGAGTGCTTCTACCCAGGCATCCGCTCCTACCGCTCGAGTCGCTACTCAGAGCCCAGGATCTCGAGCATCGACTACAAATGGGATCGCATACGGGACCCCCTACTGGGGAAATCGGAGCTTTCGGAGGAAACGGAGGGACTACTGCCTCTGGCGGAACTCACCAGAGTCTCGCGTATGGTAGCTACGAAAGTAACCCGTACTACGCTTCCCCGTTGTATGATAACACCCCTTCGATGGCTAGTGGCCTGTACGGGATGCCCACTAACATCCGGAACGCTATCCGTACGCTACAACCGTTCTACTCGGAAGGGGCGTCTGTGGAATATGCTCGATCGTTCAGGGAAGCCTTCGAACGTGCAACTATCGAACTGCATGAGCCCCTCCGACTCAGTGCTTTCCGTGAGTGCTTAAAGGGCAAGGCCGGTGAAGACTGGTGGATGTACTCGCTCATCAATCGTTTTGAGGCCCTAAGGACTCAGTTTCACAGCAAGTTCATCTGTTAAACGTCGTTGCAGTTGATCGAAAACCCCAAGAGCACTAAGTAACCCGGGGGATGTCCGCCGAATTATGAAGTGACATGATTTGAAGCCTCTGCGATGATGCCCAGTATTACGATCCTCAAATACGTTAACAGTATTTTTTGTCGGGACCCCGGAACCGGGATTGGAAAAATGTCCTCGCCACGACCATGATTGACTCAATCATTGCGGCTGTGGTTAGCTACTCCTCAAGAATATGCACCGCCCAGTCGAAGACGACTCCGAGGTCGATAATGTTCCTTCCCTAGAACTTTCCCACGAGAGCGCTGTCAT